GAAGAAAATCTGATTTCCCATGATGCAGGCCCTTTAAACATTAGACTAAGACTTACAATATTTTGTAATGCCCCAAATCAGGGAAAATAAAGGATCTGACACATGATTTAACACATTAAATATACTGCACAAACAGTGTCAGCAGATGAATATTTATATTACTTTTCTCTGTTAATCTAAACAGACTGATTCTCTGAGGATAATTCTCTTTGTTTTGTTCACAGTGGTAAAACTGTGAACTCTTCCTCCAAGTTTGCGTGTTCTGTTCTTTTACAGATTTAAATAATTGTATATTTTGCGCATCTTGCACGTGTTCCACTTTGCACATTCCATTACTCTCAAATCCTACACTGATTCTATACTGTGGAAACTACTCTGTTCAGTTAATGTGCATATTGAACAGATATTGATTCAAAGCCAGAGTTGAAAACATATTTTGGACTTTTAACTGACTTAGACTTTAGACTAAAATCCTTTTGCTTTGAGTTATCCTATACCTTAACCCCTTAACAATCCAGGCTTATTACATACAAAGCCTTATTATTCAGTAGTTACAGGGACTTCAGTGCAAACTAATGGAGTTATTTTTAGGTTATAAAAGTGTGTAATAATACTTTTACGTCCACTGGCAGGCCCATGGCTTGTTAAGGGGCTAATTATGTTTATTTTATTAAAACAAATGATTGGGCATTCCATTTTATCACTACTCAAACAATTGTAACACTTATAAATGTTTCAGTAGTGAGTGTTTCAGTAGTGACAATTTTAGCTCATTTTGAGCAGAACTCAAAAACTCTGGCTAGTACATGACCAGCTTTGAACAGTTATACACACATAAGATCATAATATTTTTCATCAAAATACCAAAAAAGCTTACTTCATTGAAGAAAATATGTGTTTCAGTAGTGACAATTCTTAATCTACTCACTGATTTTCAGACTTTGGGATGCATTTACTTCAAAACAATTGGATCTAACTCCTTGCCATGTGGCCATGAGAGACAGGGATGCAGTCTCACTTCCTGCTCTAAAATGCAGGGGTGTGGCTAAAATAAGGCTCCGCATATGGACTAAAACTGTTTGTGTTCTGGTCATGACATGAAAATGGGGCGACAGCATTTTCTCACGGTTTTTTAATGATAAATTTAAATCTTTCAACTTCACTTAAAAAGAAATCAAAAAGATGTCAATACTTAGATTTTTTTCCAAAATTTTTCAATGTTGAAATTTAGAAGTTCTCTCCCAACAGCACACTATAAATGATGATTTAGTATATATCTATCTCATTTATATCTCAATTAATGCCTTGGGTTTAAATAAATCATAACACTTGTAAAAGCCTAAAAGTCTACTTTCTATATATAATATACACCTGTTACTTGTATTCTTTGCCAAATTCTACATGCATGCAATTGTACTTAGCCAATAGAGTAAGTCTGACTGTCTGCATCTGTATGTGTGTGTGTTAGATGGCACAAAGCCATCCACTGTACCTGTAAATACATCAGCAACCGATAACAACAACACGCACCACTGATTTCCCATGAACTGTGTTTTATGGATAAGAATTCATGCCAAATTGAAAAACAATCACTATGCAATGCACACATAACATTACTTTTCCATAGGTGACATGTGTAATACATGAATTAAAACCAAATCTCTATTACATTGTTTTCACATCGCTTGACCTCTTTACTGAAGGCAATACATTAGAATTTACATTTAAAAAAATAAACACTGAATTTGTGTTACAATTCAACATAATCCACTTTGAAGTGTAATGAAGGTATGATTATACTGCTTTCCACTGCGCAGTAGTTTAAATGGATTTGCCTGATTAAAATCTAACAGTGAAAACCATTCAACATATTCCAAATTTTTGATGTTGGTCTTAGTATCATAAGTTTTTTCTTAAGAAAGCTTTTATAAAGCTGGACCCTGATTCTGATCAGGCATGGGCCATAATATGTAATCTGCATGTCTCAATCCATCAGATCCATCAGATCCACTAAACTGGGAATTCTGTGCATGATTAATTACACTGGGAATGCTGTGCAGTGTACTGTGAATGTGTAGTATAATGAGTGTTAATGCTGCTGTAAGTCCTCTATAGTTTCTGTGAATGACACACAAAGCCCTCTTTAACACAATTTAAATCCCTTTACAAAATATGTCATCCATGTGAAGCCCACGGTGTCTCCCTGTGCCTTTACAACGCAGTGACACGTTCCATGTGTGGACGATGATTCACTAATTACCGCCTCATCCAGCCTTTCAGCTGCTGCAGTTTAAAAAGGCCTTCGGCTGGAGAAGACAAAGCAGGAGGTAATGTGAGAGGGATGATGCTGCTGTGGAGGACGCACTACACATACAATCCGTAGATACACTGAGACAGCACCGTAGCTGAGGTCTTACACGTCAGCGTAGAGTGGTCCACCACATAGAAATATCCAGCCAGGAGCGGCTCTTCCAATCTATTTATTTGTGTGACATTTGACATTTGATATATATTTATATATATACATAACAGAAAATCAACAACCAAGACAACTAGGAAATGTACCAGACCCCTACATTTGTAAAATATATATGCCAACCCATAACACACATCTTGCTAATGTTTTCTTAGGCAGATGCTTTACTTGCTAACGCTAACAGAATCTTTGTTAGCTTGACAGAAATTGGTGACGAAGATGACCTGAAAATATACCAGAACTGCAAATTTGTTATTGCGTCACTACATATATATTTACCTATGCTAACTCTTATCACCCGCATCATTTACACTGTTGTTGGCAAATGCCAAACTTGTTACCATTAACAAAAAAGGTTGCCAGTCCATTGCAGGGCAGACATACACTGATCAGGCATAACATTATGACCACCTCCTTGTTTCCATGCTCATTGTCCATTTTATCAGCTCCACTTACTATATAGGTGCACTACAGACTGTAGTCTATCTGTTTCTCTGCATACTTTGATAGCCCCCTTTTACCCTGTTCTTCAGTGGTCAGGACCCCCATGGACCCTCACAGGACAGGTACTATTTGGATGGTGGATCATTCTCAGCACTGCAGTAACACTGACGTGGTGGTGGTGTGTTAGTTTGTGTTGTGCTGGTAAAAGTGGATCAGACACAGCAGTGCTGCTGGAGTTTTTAAACACAGTTTAAAACACAGTCCACTCACTGTCCACTCTATTAGACACTCCTACCTTGTCAGTCCACCTTGTAGATGTAAACAGGCTGACGTACAAAGTATGCGGAGAAACAGATGGACTACAGTCTGTAATTGTAGAACTACAAAGTGCATCTATATAGTAAGTGGAGCTGATAAAATGGACAAAGAGCATAGAAACAAGGAGGTGGTCATAATGTTATGCCCGCTGCACCACTGTTTTTGCTGATTTTGCGTTTTCCATCACCCATTCTTTTCACACGTTTTTTTGTGTTATGACCTGTTACACGCTAATGCTAATAGTTAAGTTTGGACACACTTTATATGTTTTTGTATTCTAACTATGATAGTGTTTATGATTTTGTTTAATTGGTTAAGGCATTCCCACCTCTAAGGAGACTGATTTAGCATGTGCCCACTTAAACATGGCCATGTTTTCTGCTGTCCTGATGTTTTTCCTGCCATCAGGCTCTATGATCACTAAACACTAATGTAATGCTAGGTAGCTAGCAGCTGGCTAATATATGGCAGTAGTGTAGGAACTCAAGCACATTATTTGAATATATGAAATAACAACAGTGACAGTAACAGTAAAAGTACAACATCAATCTTGAGATCTGTTATATGATGTTTTTTCTCTCAGTTTTTAATTTGGTATAGTTTAGGTTAGGTTTGTTTTACATTTGGTTTGATTTACATTTGATTGGTTTGGTTTAAATTTGGTTTTGGTAGGATTACATTTGGTTTGGTTAGGTTTTGGTGTGGCTTAGACTTGGTTTGATTTGGTTAACATATGTATTGACTTAGGTTTGTTTTTTGTTTTCATTTGATTTTGGTTAGTTTAGGTTTGGTTTATGTTTGGTTTGGTTTATATTTGGTTTGGACTGTTTTACATTTAATTTGGTTTAGTTTACATTCTATGCCAAAAAAACAGCACAGACCAGCAAGGCATGGTAACCATTGTTGCTGACCAGAATACTAGCATCCAAAACGCAACATATGCCAGTTTTACTGGTCACCAGACATGCTGGTCTATGTTGTTTTTTTCTAAAAGGGTTTGGTTTAGAATTGGTTTGATTTGGTTTGGTTTGGTTTGTTTTACATTTGGTTTTGTTTAGGTTAGGTTTTGTTTGATTCACATTCAGTTTGGTTTGGTTTAGGTTCTGCCGCTAACAAGGCTACATCCCCTCTAAACCCCTCCCCCAAATTCCTCTTGCCTGACTCTTTTAACATTTGGAGTGCAATCAATAACACTAGAGCTAGCAAAACGCTATCATTACCTTACAGAACTGTTTTTCTCTTGTAATAGGTCATGTTTATTTTACTGCATGTGTTCTCTGCACACTACTCACATCTTCATGCTTGATTGAAATTCTTGGGGACTTTTCAGCCATGCTATCTTGCACTACATCCATGTAGTGCTTGGTGTCTACTGGACGACGGAGTTCTCCTCTGATCAATAATCAATACATTTCTAACAGTTACAGTGCTGTTCCTCTGTACTGCTGCAGAGGCTGGTCATAGAGCTCTGAGGAACAGGTGAGAGCTACCTGTGAGCAAGGTGAGACTCTCCCTCCTCATCTTCATCCTCCTTTTCTTGTCCCTCATCCTCCATTCACCAATCCAATTAGGTTTCCCTTACAAGAGGTTGCTCCGCCCCCCGCCACCTAACCGCCCATCTCTCTCTCTCTCTCTCTCTCTCTCTCTCTCGCTCTCTCTCTCTCTCTCTCTGTAGGCGGAGCTCCCCGGTCGTGCTCCTGAAGCTGCTCCGCGGAGCTCGTGAGGAGAATGTGGGACGCGCGCGCGCTGTAGCGGAGCCTCGCGCTCGGTCTTTCTCGCACACACGCACGCGCACACACCGCAGCGCGCGGTGGCGAGGACGGAGTGCATGCAGGAGCTGGACTACTTCAGCAAGGTAAGAAGTTGGCTCCCTATTCGCCAGCGCCTTATTCGCATTTTCCGTTCCACCTTAAATGGTGCAGCAGTTGCATTCTGGCGCATGCACCGTTTAAGGTGGAACGACAAATTCGAGTGAGATCGGGCAGCAGTACAGTGAGGGCTGTCCGCATCGCTCCTGGAGCAGAGAGAGTGGATGTGAGCGCAACAGTTTAGATCAGATGGAAAACGCGCAGCAGAATGAAGTTCTGGCAGCGCTGCTCTCATCACGCTCAGCAGGGACCACAGCAGCGTTTCATACAGCTAATATTAGCTGTACTATTTTACAGTGTTCAGTACAGACACGTGCACCAGTGCTCGAGTGTAGCCTGGATTTCATAGTTAATTTATTCGAGTTTTAAACGCTATAGATTATTATATTCATACGAGAACACAGAGAGAGTGTCATAAACAATGCATAGCGTAACAACGCACGGATGGTGCTTTGGATAGTGTTGTGCGTTGGGTTATCTGTGTTATGATGTAGGTTTGGTTTACATGTGTTTTCTCCTTGGTTTGGTTTAGGTTTGATTTTGTTTGGCACATGAGAAGCGTTTGAGCGGTGATGGCATGCACTGATAAAAATGCTGCACTGGATTAGCTCTCAAAGGAATTGAAGTGTAGATGCAGAGTTTGGCTTGGGTTGGTTCAGTCTGGATTGGTTTGGTTTATGTTTGGTTTGGTTTGGTTTGGTTATGTTTTGGTTTGGTGTTTGTTTGGTTTGATTTGGTTTGGTTTAGGTTTGGTTTTCATTAGGCTTGGTTTACACTTGATTTGGCTTGATTTAGAATTAGTTTGCATTTTGTTTAGTTTGGTTTAGGTTAGGTTTGGTTTACATTTGGTTTGATTTGGTTTTGGTTTTGATTTGGTTTAGGTTTGCTTTGATTTAGGTTAATGGTTGGTTTGATTTACATTTGATTTGGGATAGATTTGGTCTGGGATTGGTTTAGCGTTAAGTTTGTTTTGGTGTACATTTGGTTTGATTTTGCTAGGCTTGGTTTTGGTTTGATTTGGTTTACGTTTGGTTTGGTTTGATTTCGTTTGGGTTTGATTTAGTTTATGTTTGGTCTGGTGTTCATTTGGTTTGGTTTGGTTTAGGTTTGGTTAGGTTTGTTTACAAACAAAACCAAATAGTTTACGTTTGGTATGATTTGGTTTTGCTTTTGGTTTGGTTTAGGTTTATGGTTTAAATTTGGTGCAGTTTAGGTTTGCTTTGGTTTTGGTGTAGGGTTGGGTTTGGTTTGGTTTACATTTGGTTTGATTTCCATGTGGTTTGATTTGGGTTACTTTTGGATTGGTTTAATTTGGTTTACATTGGCTTTGATTTGGTTTAGTTTATAAATAGTTTCTTGAATCAATTACTGTCTTTCAGTTTATTTACATCTGGCAATAGTTGTGTCATGATTTTATTCATGTACACACTGTAATTCAGATTAATTCACCATTTCATTTTACCAATGTGTACCATCAGGGCTCAAATGTTTCTTATGTAATTCTGCTCTGATCATACCGATCAGTGCTTGCATCCCACATGCGCTGGAGTTTTTACAGAGCGAGGCAGATGGATCAGTGATATAAAGCCAGCCGGTCCAGCCTTGGACTAATAAAGAACAGGTTTAGCTCTCTACACTGTCCAGCGTTAAGAAATACACCACCTGAAAGACCAGTACATTTTAAATTTACAGAAACACATTGAGTATTCACCATTATCACCATCATCTTGCTTTATGTCCTACTATTAAGCCATTGTTTTGGAGTATAATATTGTGTAATATGGGATATAAAAGGTTTGGAAGAGGCTGAACTTGCTTGTTATTTATTTTATTTATGTACAACATGGATATTAGACGAACCTCTTAAACTGTAGGGCTATTATAAAGTTAATAATATTGATACTCATTATGCAATAATATGTAAGGAATTTAATTTTTCTTGTTTATGCCAAGATCCACTTTTGATGTTTATGTGTGTTTATGTCTTTATTTTCTTTAGAATTAAACAGTATGCTTTTGATACTGTGCCTTTAAGGCTGATATGTAAATAAGCTTTATTCTCATTGGCTGTACTAGATTGTACCTTATGCAAAAAGCTGAATCACTGCTTATAACTTCATTGTGAATGGGCAGGGCTAAACTGCTGTAGGCTGAATATGTGGATGTGTGTAAATGTGCTGATTTTTGTAGTATTTTAAAAAGATTAAATTAAAGATGGATTATTTTTGCAGCTTCATTTCCATATATGTACTGTGTGGACTCGAGATTTTATCAAATTCCTGTGTAATGATTTAAGTAATTGCGAATGATAAAAATCAGAATGTTTATTCTAGCTATTTCTAATGTTCTCTCTCTCTCTGTTTTCTCTGTAGCCATGGAGGGACCTGTCTAAAGAGGATCCGACTTAACTTTCTCATTCGGCATTGTTATTTTTTTCATTTTTTCTTCCCATTTCTCCTTCTCTTCCTGCCCCATACTTGTGGTCAGCATGAGTGATAATTCCGGCCTTGGCGTTCCAAAGCCGAACGCCCGCTCCAGCACGTCTCTTCCCCCGGAGCCGATCGAAATAATCCGGACCAAAGCCCGGTCCAGACGGGTGCGGTTAAACGTGGGCGGGCTGAACCACGAGGTGCTGTGGCGGACGCTGGACCGGCTGCCGCGGACGCGGCTCGGAAAGCTGCGTGACTGCAACACGCACGAGTCCCTGATGGAGGTGTGTGACGACTACAGCCTGAACGAGAACGAATACTTCTTTGACCGGCACCCTGGAGCCTTCACCTCCATCCTGAACTTCTACAGAACCGGCAAGCTGCACATGATGGAGGAGATGTGTGCGCTGTCGTTCGGTCAGGAGCTTGACTACTGGGGAATTGACGAGATCTACCTGGAGTCATGCTGCCAGGCCAGATACCACCAGAAGAAGGAGCAGATGAACGAGGAGCTGCGCAGGGAGGCAGAGACACTGAGGGAGAGGGACGGCGAGGGCGAGTTCGATAACACATGCTGCTCTGAGAAGAGGAAGAAACTCTGGGATCTTCTGGAGAAACCGAACTCCTCCGTCGCTGCTAAGGTAGGAAACCATGGTGACCGGAATGGCAGATTATTTTCAGCAGATGATTAATCAACAAAGGCCAACAGAGAAGGTCTGCGCTCTTAAAAATAAAGGTTCCTCAGTGGGTCCTGGCTTGGATGCACAGTTGCACTGTGTACGTTGGAGGTTTGTTTAAAACCTTTTAAAAAGCTCTTCATGCTCATGAATCCTATAAACAAGACATTTCTTTAAAGAAGCATTCATTGAAAGATTCTTTGGGGAACCAGAAGTGATTCTTCTGTGGTATCACTTGGAAACAGCATTTATTTTTAAGAGTGTAAGTTGAGCTACCATGGTGAAATATGCATATTTTTAACAATCATCATCACTGTTATGAAAAAAAAAAACTCATTAGGCCATTTTTCTTTGTTTTTTTGTTGTTTTTCACACCATTTAAATCACACCAACTGCCCTTTACATTGTGGTGTGGACATTTCTAGATAGACAGATATATAGCTAGACAGACAGGTAGATAGATTGAGACAAAGCGAGACCTCTTTAAAGAGTATATATATATATATATATATATATATATATATATATATATATATATAGACAGACACATAGATTGACTGAGAGATAGATAGACAGACAGACTGATAGAGAGATTGAGAGAGATAGACAGATTGACAGAGAGACAGACACGCTGATAGAGACAGACTGATAAAGATCCATGTACTTTATTGCTTAAGGGGAAATTTGGGAGCTGCAGTAAAACAATGACATTGTTTCACATATAATAAATAGACAATTTATTTTGTATATTTTTCGTAAGTTACAATAACAGATTTAAGAATATTTTTGCTTTTTTCCTATAAAGTCACTGTTTTGGAGATTTCAGGGGTTTTTTAATGACAGTGATGATGCTTTTCCGTAATTGCTCCATTGATATAAATTCTTTTGTGTACAGACTCTTTACTCTCCTGACTTTAACCGTGCTGTAGAGCTGAAGAGCTGTGCTTCTGCCTCAGTGCAGTTTGTGTTACTCAGTTATTTGTGTCTGTAAGTGTGGAGGAGTCCAGCAGCTGGAACTGAACACTCACATTTATATGATCAGAAACGTGTGAACAGGTGTGATGTTTGTAGGTGAGTGTGGAATGAAAACTTGGTGTTTGAGTGCAAAAAGTGAACAGTGAGAGTGGAGGGGTGTTGTAGTGATGGCCAGCAGCGTGTGGAGACAACTCTGTGTTTGTGAAAATGGTCTTTGTGTTTGTATACCGTTTACAAATAAAGCTAAGTCGTAAATAGTATATCAAGGCATTAGCATTCTTGTGTAATAGTTAGTATTTAATGTTGTACTCATGTGATAGTAAATTTGTGATGCGGGAGCTTCACTGAAAATGTAGTTTAGCAGAGCAAATTGTTAGTGGACGTTAGTTTTCTACAGCAAGGCTATTACAGAGAAGTAAAGATATACTGGACATTTCCGTATAAATTGACAATATGGATTTAATATAGAATATTAAACAGGAGATAATTATGTGTATATAATAGTAGTCTTTTTTTCCTTACTTTAATATTAGACATCCTTGCTATTATTATTAATAGTAGAGGTAGTATTAGTCTTTGTATTATTTAAACACTATATGTTGTTAAACCATCATGAATATTAGTACTATTATAACAACCATATTGTTTATTATTATTATTATTATTATTATTATTATTATCAATAGTAGTAGTATTGTAACCTCTGTCTCATTTAAACTGGCCATACTGTGTTTACCAGTTTGAACGCTGTTGCTACTTGGTTGGATGAACTAAACCTGCATGATTGTGCTAATAATGATTGTGAAGTGTCGCTAAATGAATATTTTCATAACCTGTAACTTGCCTGCTCTCTGATGTTGTAAAGTCGTGTGATGAGCTGTCGGTCATCCATTAACCAGTGCTGGAACGTTGATGAAATTCAATCAGCACTAATTTACGAGGAGCCTTCAGGCCGGTGGTCAGAGAGGATAATATTTCATGTCTGAGCGAGTGTATCATAAAAACATCCTCTGAAAGTGTGACAGGGTGCGAGGAGAAAAAAGCAGCTGCTGCCTCCGCGAGCTGAGCGCTAGCAGTACTGCGATTTTCTCTTTTCCATAAATGCAGCGTCATCTGTTTCACTGGACATTTCCTGAGCTGATACAGAAATCAGGCGTTACTCAATTTCGGTCCCTCTCTCTCTCTCTCTCTCTCTCTCTCTCTCTCTCTCACACTCTCTCTGTATTTATGGTCAGGGCAGCAGCAGTGTGCTCTGCTCTGGCTGCATGTTATAAAGTTGCTGTCACGGTGCAGGCTGTGCGCTATGAACACCACAGTAATGTCTAATATACATCATACCTGGGCTGCATGATATGAACAAAAAAGCAGTATTGCGATTGTGATTCACCTTACAAACACAGTAACTTACTTTATTTTAAATAAGGCATTAAATGCAGAAGTAGACAGATAAAAAAAATTCCAATGGCCATCCAGGCAGCCAAGCCAATGATTTATTGTGGTCAGGATAATAGAAACACCCACCGATTTACACATTTTGTTTATTTTCTAAGTGAAATAAGTTAATAACACAATCTTAAAGGATATATTAAATTATCTTCCCCAACAAAACATGGAACTCGACCAGGGGCCCCCATATATACTTACTACATTTAACAGGCTTGCTTCAGTAAAAACTAGCCATACTGAAAAGGTTTGAAAAGGAAATATTTGTAAAAAGCTTTACATTAATAAGAACATGTCATAGTGCCATAGTGGTGACCGTGGTTAGTTCCCTCGCTGAGGTGGTCCGCCCTGACGTCACCTGATCTATGGATTTCAAAAGATACTGTTTAACTACAGCAGTATCAGCCTCTCAGTGTAATTCCAACTCAACAACATAACAAATTATTGTATTTAAGAGATTTCAGTAAGTCGTTAATTATCTTTTAATTTTGTAATGTAAGTGTGCAGCATGGAAACGCTAAAGCACAAGCAGCTCATATTGTGTGTCATGTAATGTGTACTGAATGTGACCTTCTTTATATGTAACTGAGGCTGGGTAGTATGTCTATATTTAGCGTTGTTGTGTTTAATTACATCCCATGTCACAATCACGTCACAGTAAGTTACAATGTTTGTCTGAGCATATCAGAGATATTGGCAGTACTTAAAACATTGACCAACTGTAGGCTTGATTACAAAGAAAGCATGATTAGGCCTGATTAAGTGGATTTAGTGTAGCATAGGGTGTGAAATGTTGAACACAAATCATTAGTTTTATGTCACTCTCGTGAAATTTTAGCTGGCAATTAACGATCATCTGAAATAAATGCAATTTAAAAAGACTTTTGATTTTTTAAACAGGAAAAATAAATATTGTGACATATCATGTATTGTGAAAACTTGTGGAAGTTTTTTGGGTGGCTGTCAGTGTACTTAGCGTGCTTGATTTGAAGGGGATTGCAAAGGAATGCCAATCCCCCCCAGTGAAAAAAGACACCCCCTTATAAAACTAGCCCCCCCCATCCTCTATGGATGAATGTAATATGTTACATCACCTCAGACCATATTAGAGATTCACACAGCATGTTGCCTTTGATGAATTCCACAGAAGTCAGAGTGCTCTGTGGATCTCCTCTGAGTGGTTTAGAAGGAGGAGATGTGTGCTAGCGTAAACGCACAGCAGCGTTTTTATCTCAAACTGAAAACAAACCGACAGTGAGGAGAGGAGAGAAAGGGGGAAACGAGAAAACGAGAAGACAGCGGGGCGAATGTTGATGGAATTATGGGAAAGAGTCCAGTCTGACCTTAAATCGGACCATTACATCCTCACTGTGTTCTCCTGTCCATCCTGCTGACCCTCAGACCACTGAGAGACCCCCGATCACCTTACAGTCGCTCAGAGAATCTCACTGGATGAGTCCAAACATCCCAACAGCTCACACAGTTTTAACAGCCCCCCCAACACCACTCCCCCCTGCCTGGAACAGAGGATAGCTGTGGGCGGTCGAGTGACACATTGTTTATCTGCCAGCGCAGGGAGAGTTACATTATGACTTCATGTAGTTCAGTATGAGAGAGAGAGAGACTAAAGAGAGATGGGAGAATACAGAGCAAAAAAGAGTATAAAGAGCGAGAGAGAGAGACAGAGGAGGGGAAAGAGAGAGCATAAAGAGAGAGATAGGAGAAAGGAGAGAGTATAAAGGGAGAGAGCGAGAGAGAGAGAGACCATAAAGAAAGAGAAAGTATAAAGAGAGAGATGGGATGAATATAAGAGAGTATAAGGGGAGAGAGTAGAAGAAAGAGAGAGACTGATAAAAGAGAGGAAAAAGAGGGAGTATGGAGAGAAAGAAAGGAAAGAAAAAAGGAGAGAAGGGGAAGAAAGAAAGAAAGACAGTATATAGAGAGAAGGTATAAAGAGAATGAGTGAAGAAAAAGAAGGAGGGAAAAAGAAAGAAAGTAATATAAAGAGCACAAAGAGAAGGGAGAAAAGAAAGAAAGGGAGAGAGAGGTGGAGAGAAAATAGAGAGAGGTAAAAAAGAGTACTAAGAGAGGAAAGAGAAAAAGAAAAGGGTATTAAGAGAAAGGGAGGGAGAAAGAAGAGAAGAAAGAAGGGGAGAAGAAAACAAGAGAAAAAAGTATAAAGAGAGCGAGGTAAGAAAAAGATTATTAAGAGAGAGAGAGGAAAGAAAGAGAGAAGAAGAGCGTATAAAGAGAGAGAGAGAGAGAGAGAGAGAGAGAGAGAGAGAGATGGAGGTGCAGTAATCTAAGTAAAGCTCCAGAACGCTCTATGGCTTCGGTACAAACATTTATTGTGAATAATGGATGTGATGGTCAGTGCCTACTCGCGGCCAGTTCAGTAATACAGCTGTCTGCTGTTTTTTAGGCCTCTGCTTTACAGAGGTACCGTTAGCGGAGGATAGAGGAGTGCACCTCGGCGTGATTCTATAAATATTCACCCTCAACCTCTTAATACAGCAGTGGCCCAGCGTGTAGGTACAGCGTTTATT